TAAATCTTTCAGTGGAAGCAGCAAAGAACAAACTAGTATGAGTATCCTCCTTATGACTGTTCTTCTCAGTAATGTCTCCTGACTCTTGCTGGTCCCAGTGTTCCCTTCAACCACAGCCCCAGGTGGATGCTGGGAATCCTGGGAATCCTGGGAATTTTGGGAATTCTGGGATGAGGGCAGAGGCCACACAGCTCTGCCTCATGCACTGGGGAGCTAAGTCCCACATGTGATGGATTCCTCCAAAGCTGAGGTAATGGAGACACAACAACAAGTAGAAGGAGTGTAAAGGCTCAAACAGAAGCAGGAATATTGGGAAAAAAGACAAGATTAGCTAGTAAATAGGTGCTCAAGACAAGTAGGAGGAGAGTCATTGGTCCTTTTGGACTTGGAAGCAAGGTTAACTGAAAGTCATAGAAAGCTAAATTAGCAAAAAACCAGGATCCCCAAACTGGTCTTGAAAACTGTGTGAAAAAGTGATCTGTTAAAAGTTTTGCCATAAAGGCAAGAAGAGAACTGAGCGATGGCTCAAGGCCGAGTCTTGAGTTTTCAAGTGAAAAAAATATGCATCTAAAGTTAAAATATAGATTGGTAGTAACTGCTGAATACATTTCATGAGCTCGACCTGCTCACCAGCCACTGACCTCCATAGTTGACCTGCCATTGTCAACCTGGAAGACAACAACAGATTCCACTGAAAATAATGAACAGTTCACTTGTCTCAAATGTATTCTGATATACAAGGGGCAAACTATGGGGAAATAGCAAACACAGCTACACAGGGACTGGCAGAACCTTGTCTTCAGTTTTAATTCATACTGCTCTTCACCCTCTGATTCTTCAAGCTTTGAATTTCAGATTAGCAAACACAATCAGTCAAGGACAAGGAGTGTCTGCCAGAGTTTATAGACTCTCTAGTAAATCCCAGCTTACACAGGCTCTCTCAGGAGAAGCTGAGTAACTAGTTTTGGCAGTGGAATTGGTGCCTGGTATGCCAAAAATCTGAGACAGCTGTAGGAGCTAATGGACCAGAAAATTAAATCTCCATTCTTGAAGCTCAGCCTGCCTCTGTTGAAGCTAATGGTCATTTTGCCATGAAACCTACGGGAAGCAACAAACTCCCAGGCTGCTGTATTGTATATTCGGGTTTTTTAATGGACCAATTTCCAGGTTGATAAAATTTCAGATAAGCCATACCAAAATGTGCCTGAAAAGCCTGGGGAAATGTTTACTGCGTGGCTGAAGTGTGTGAAGAATGTGGCTGTGAAAAATGCTTGTGTGTGCAAGCCAGCACAAGATGTCATCACGCTACTAAGCTGGCAAACCTCACAGCTGGGAGAGGGAGGTTGGGTTACTTCTTCCTCTATGTGATTGTTTTGAGTGGGCAAGCATAGTTTTGCAAGGCTAAATATCTACATTACCCACTTAGATTGCAAAGGTCAAAAAGCTGTGCAATACCCCTACCAGGTCCATCTGCACTGGCGTCCACTCTGGCTTGTGGTATGAAGAAAAATCTTTTGAAGGTAAACTGAATTTGTGGTGCTGGAGGTTCATCTTCTGCAACAGAGATGACTTCAAGACTTCCAGTAGTGGGATTTGTCTCCTGCACCTGACTCAACAAGAGAAAAAAAGAGAAAGAACATAATCACCTTGTAAAATGTTGTCATAGAATCACAGAATGGTTTGGGGTTGGAAGGGACATTAAAGCTCATCCAGTTCCAACCACCTGCCATGGGCAAAGACACCTTCCACTGGACCAGGTTGCTCCAAGCCTCATCCAACCTGGCCTTGGACACTTCCAGGGATGGACCATCCACAGCTTTTTTGGGCAACCTGTGACAGTGCCTCACTACTCTCACATTAAAGAATTTCTTCCTAATACTGAACATAACACTCTCATAGCCTCCTTTAGGTACTGGGAGGCCACAAATTGGTCTCTCTGGTGTCTTCTCTTCTCCAGGCTAAACTCCAGCTGTCCCAGCCTGTCTCCATAGCAGAGATGCTCCAGCCCTCTGAGCATCTTTGTGTCCTCCTCTGTCTCACTCCAGCAAGGTCCATGTCCTTCCTGTGCTGAGGACCCCAGAACTGGACACAGTACATTGTTATGCACTTAATGTTCACGTGAGAAGCACTTATAATTGATTTACCAGCAAACTATTGAGGTTAATTTTTGTTCATATTTTTCTAAGTGCCATATCTGCCTGTAATATCTCCCACTGGGGGGTGTAAATTCATCCCCTGCTCTATAATTGCAATAGGAAACAGGAGACTAAAAGTCATATGACAACTGCACAGAAGAACCTGACAGGATCCTTGTTCAGGAGCCCCTGAATTTTACTCCAGTAAACTTTTGATGACTTACCATGCAGTGGAAAAAACCCCCCACAATTAAAATGAGCTACACTAGAATACAGGGGAAATAGATTTGAAATGCTAATTTCTGGCTCTGCATGTTGGCAAAAGGGGTCAGATTTTTGAACTCACAGTGGTGTGAAATGGGTCCAGGTTAAAGATAGTGCAGCTGTGAAAGCTGCTGTAAAAAGCTGCTCTAAAAGCAGCATATTTGCATGGTCATTTCCAGAAAAGGCTTACAATGACAAATTTTAGGCTAAGAATACATGTTTTATCTATGACACTATCTTCAAGTCACCTGGAATATCTTTTCACCTTTCAGCAAACAACTGCAATAAGGTTTACGCTCTTTCATTTGATAAAATTCCATGTGCATTTCAATGAAAATAAACAAAACTTCGTAGAGAACCTGCTAGCACGGTTTTAAATATTAAAAACAAAAAAAGTCTTCTGACTGGTGCATAATTTGCCCATCAGGAGACAAAACAACATTTTGAAGCAAATTACACAAAAGCTGAACGCTGACGTTTCCTTCATTTAGAGGCTATCTCACGCTCCCAAAGCTTCACTCACCTCTTCCTGAGAAGTCATAGCTAAAAGCAAAACTGTTTTCTTTCTTCATTATCAAAAGCAGCCAAAAGGAAATTCTGAGTCTGCTGAGCCACTCAGCTCTGGGAAGGTCTCCACCGAGCCCCGTTCAGCCTGTTCCGTGCGGCGTTACGGCAGCAGCCTGTGTAACCCAACCTGGTGAGGGGTATCGGGTGGCCTGGCTACGGAAAGGGGAAGATAAAAATTCAGCATGCTTTCTAATTAGCCTAAGAAGGCCAGGTGATATCGTGGCATTTGCAAACCTCTCTGTAACCCCTCAGCAAGGGAGCACCACAAGCAGCACATCCTCATCTCCCGTCGAAGCTCGCGCAGCTGAGGATCCCGGTGGTCCAGAGCTGTGGGTGGCAGAAGGCAGCAGCAGCCCCAGAGCTTCATCTCTTCAGCACACCTTGCTCTTCCCTCCCTTGCTTTACAGCCTTTGCTGCGTGCCTGCACGGGGGTTTTGAAAAAGACCCATCGTTCAGTTATTTTTGAAATTAAATGTTGCACTGTGTTTTGGAAGTACTCTGCAAGCAGTTGTCTCGTGTTTCTGAAGTAGCAACTCACTTGTACTCAGGGATTTAGGAAATGAAATTGTATTCTCAGCTGCAACAAATGCTCAAGAGTAGCAATAATTTGGCTTGTTTTTTTCACCAAGAAGAGAGATCGATGACAGAGGGAGGGGTCAAGGAAGAAGGAGGAGGAGACATGAAGCAAAAAGCCACAGCAGCATAAGTGAAAAAAGGCTGCTGAGAGGCCAGGAAAGACATGAAGGTTTTCCATGACAAAACCCATGTCCCTGTAATATGGCCACAATGAGGGAAGATGTTCAGTCCCTTCGCTGTGCACGATGGAAACTGGCACTTCCAAAGGAGAGGACACCATATCGTAATCCTGTTAAATTAAGCCATGGCATCAAGAATTCTTCATCATCTCCTACGTCACTCTTTCAACAGCCTTCCCTGGAAATGGGAACACAGGGGGAGATAAGAAAAAAATAAAATAAGAAATCAGACGAAGGCGTATAAAACAAGCTGCATTTCTGGAGTTGCTCACAATGCTCTGACATTCTCCCCACCAGGCTTCAGAGACAAATGGTTGGACAAACAGCTCAAACTGACCAAGTCCCCCAAGGGAAACTTTAGCCAAAGAGGGGACAAAGTGAGGGCTTATTTCAGGAGATCAGCAGCTCAGGTTATCCTTTCAGTCCATGGGGTGAGATGTCCTGTGCTCCCCAGGGAGCAGTGATACCTCCAGTGAGGACAGCCCAGGCCAGAAAAAAACTGTCTCCAACCAATTTACCTGCTCTGGCCATTCTGGAAAAGCCTGAGGACCAACCATGGAAACTCTGCAAAGGCTCCCACAGTGGGACTGGCACAACTGGAAAGGACAGGCTTCTTCTCCCTGCTGCCACCCTGAGGTGCTCCAAACTCAGCCTCAGGGTGCGATGTCTAGATGGGACACTGGCATTCATCTCACACTCTTGGATTGCCCATTGCCTTTGGTTGAGAAGACCAAAGCAGGAGCCACATATGATAGGGACAGGAGGACATGAAAACTGAGCCTAAAAGGAAAGAATCTGGCCTACAGACTAACTTCTTGCATGCTGCAGGACAGTCCCACTTGCCTCTCACACAGTGCAGTCACAGCTGAGGTGGATTTCTTGGCTTTCGGGAGACAGTTTAAAATGAAAGGCTAAAAGATTCCATCTCAGCCCCTTCAGCAAGTCCACTCTCACTGTGGTGGTTACCTTTGGGCTTCTAGTCTTGTTCTACCAGGGTGGATAGTAAAAGCCTGAAGACAGCTTTTGCTTTTTTAGCCACTCTGCAACAAAAATTCGGAGACACTCTATGAAAACAGGATGTCAGCTTCTGTCAGAAAAGATCACAAGAGGTTTGAGGCTTTTTTTTTTCTTATTTGCTTCTCTCTCTCTCTCTCTCTCTCTCTCTCTCTCTCTCTCTCTCTCTCTCATTTTCTTCCTCCCCCCCTCCCTCCCTCTCACCCTCCTCCCACCTCCCAGTTTCTGTCACACTCAGCACAGGGTCAGGGGACGAGCGGAGGAGATGGCGGTGGCTGAGACACAGCTCTATGCAAAGGTGTCCAACAAGCACAGGAGCAAAAGCACCTCTGCCCTCCTCGAGTCCCTCCTCGCCAAAGGATTCCCGGCTCATACCGCGTGAGTAATTTGTTCAGCTGCCTCCGCACAGTGAGATTTATTTAAGACATGAGGTGCTTCCCATAAAATCCTGACATCGGGTAGCTCATTTTTTTGGTCAGGAGAATGTGCTGCTCCTGGGGTTGAGGTCCCTATACAGGGATCAGACTTGTCTCACTTCAGATTTCACGTAGAGCGGTGTTTATTGCTCACGTAGCAAACCCAACCTGCTCAATATCAATTTTTATAAATATATCTAAAGTATATCTGAAGATATACACCCTTCCACATCCTGAGCCTGAGAGCCTTCACGGTGAGTTAAGAAGTTGGCCATAGTTTGCTCTCGGGATACATCATCTTTCATTTTTTTCTACTTATCACTCTTATTAAAAGAGAGTTAAATGTGGATGTAATTTCTATCCAAAGTTTTTTTCAGGCCTGGCAAAGATCTCCTGCTGGATATTGTTTGGATGTTTCCTGCTGGAAACTGATCTAAAAGATTAATTTTAATTTAAGATTAGGATTAAGATTAATCCTTAACAAGATGCCACCGAAGTCTGTCAATTTTTCTTCCTGTCTTGAATCAGAATCTTGTTCTAAAAACTCTTGTTCTAGCTAGAATATATAACAGTGAAGAATGAGGGTCTATTCTTGGCAACACAAATGATTGCAAGATTAATTGGGACAGATAACTAAGTTAATAAAAAAGAAACATGTTGGTCACTTGTCCCCCAAACATGTCTCTCATTGGACTGGCAAGTTCTGGGGAGGGTTTTCCAACTTCTGAAGGGAAAGCATGGATGTTTTGGATCCAACTGTTCAAAAAATAAATCTGATTATTGAAATAATACTCAGGTTGAAGAACCCCTAACAAATATATTTTAGAAAGGAGAGCAATATCTCCATTTTGACTGAAAATTAAGCTAGTTGGAAAGGCTCCATTTATAAGTGCTGTGTTGCTATTTTAGGAACAGCTGTGTTAGCAATTAAGACATGATTTGCACAGCTTACAGGGCAAATGTGGGTGCCTTGTTCCCAGTTATGCAAAGTGAAATTTTAGCTGTGGGCTGAAAATCTGGCTCATCATTTCTCTAGTAATACTGTAAGCTTGGTCATCCCAAAGTAAAGGCTAGTTCTTTAAATTTTTGTCCTGTATGTCATGCTTTTCTAGTCCCCTTCAAAGCACTTTCTGCTCTTACTGAGATGGCTTTGTGCTTCCCAGGTCAAAACCAAAAAATAGCGGCAGAAATACAATGCAACTGACCCAAAATGACAAAATATCAAAAAGCAATTAAAAAAAAAATTTATTTAATTTTATTGATTTTAAGACCTTCAAAATTTTGATTGTGTTTTTATATTAGCTGTCTCTGTTGTTCCTGGATTGAACCATAAATTAAGTTTCTTTTGAGATGTCCTGGCCTGAGAAGTATGAAGCTGGGTGGAAGTACTACAAAATCTTTCATAATGTAGAACCAACAGGCCAAAGCAACATTTTCACAAAGAACAAAACTCAAATATGTGAGGGTCAAGTCTAGCATTAGATCAACAAATTGGGCCTCCCCTGGTGCTTATGGAGGATGGAACTGTGCCAGCACTTTCAGTTTTAGGGAAGAGCCAGTTTATTCTCGCTGTAAATTTATTTTTAATCTACTGTCAATACAGATTTTCAATGGTTTATTCCTACTCTCTACATGAGAAAAGTTGGTATATGCAGATTTTGTTCTGTGCATTATCGTTAAATCTTCACTGCTCATCTTGGAAGAGTAGGATGTTTAGTCACAGCCTCATGCACTCCTAGTGCAAAGGGCTCTATAAACCGTGATGGAAATCATCATAGAGCCAACATACACGATGAGACAAAAGGTGGGGACAAATACGGAGAGGAGCACAAGATTACAACGAGATAGTACTGAGCAGTTCATGGCCTGAGGTCTCACTTGTCTGATTACATTTATGATTTTGAAGGCACCCATGGTAGAGAGAAGATGAAGCCATTTTGGCTTCAGGGCTGTTTGCACAGAACTTGTCTCTGGGTGGGAAGAGCAGCATGGCACAAAGCCATAAAACATTCACTTTGAGGTGCAACAAGTGGTTAACAAAGCCTGGCATCGTTGGCCAGGTGGCAGCAGGCACTGACACTTCCACAGGGACACTGCAGGAAGGGCTGCATGGTGAGAATGACAAAAACATGGGTTGTTTGTGTTTGATGTGATGGAGAAGGAGGGCTCAGCAGAGGCACGGAAGGGAAACCTGCAGTGTTCAATCACAGAGGACACAGGGTAGCTTTAAACCAACCAGCTCGTGGTTCTGAAGTGATCTGGCCATGGGAGTTGATTTACTTTACAGAGAAGGAAGGTAGAAGGTAAAGTTTGAGTGGAAAGGCTCACCTCAGCCCTCATCCATGCTGAGCCCCCACTAAAGAGCCAGGTACATTCATACAAACACATTTAAATGTTTTTAATAAGCCCGTGTGTAGTTTTTACACTAAAGAGAAGTCAGAAGACTCGGAGGAAGCATCAGGGGTGAACCTGAGTCCTGCAGCTCAGTGCACCCACTGCACTGCTGATGCATGTTTGGGTATCACAGGGATGGATAGAGAACAAAAATGAGAGGAGACAAAATGGTTCAATGCCATCAGGATGCAGTGGCCAGAAAGGATGGCCTCAAGAGAGAAGGAAAGAGATGAGCAGATGCTGAGTAAATCAGTGGGGTTTTTTCCATGTCCACTGTCTCGGCTTCGCCTTCATGTTTCTTCTGAGAAGTCTGTACGTGGGTTTCAGGGGTGGAAATGGGGTTCAAGATGCTGCTTCAACACTGGAATCCTTCCCCACGTCACCTGGTATTTAGCCACAAATACGTGTTCACATGAATTACATAGCTGACATTTTAAAAGCTCTAGCGAGAAAAGGAAATGTGAATCAAATCCAACCCCAGAGGATGAAAGTTGCAATAACAGAAAGAAAAGTGAGACTTTGTCCCTCATCTTGGACCGAGCTGCTGGTTTAGATCTGGCTCTCTGCTGACCTACGGGAGACCCTCAGAGCAGATTTGAAACCCCAATAAAAGTATTTTTTGCTTTGTTTATATATATGGGCTTGGGCCTGGCATCTTGAATCGGAACTTTTTTCCTACGAACTGAGAAAACTCTGATCTTACAGTGTGTGGATGGATGGTTTTCCTAACCCTAAGGAAATCCATAAAGTCAGTAGGGCTGCTAAGGAAACACAACCAGAACACAAAGATCCCGTGGGGAAGATAGGTTACCAATCTTCAAGGAAATAAAGAATTGCAGTGGAAAAAGTGGAAAAAGCTTTCTCAAAGGGCCTCAAGAACACTAAAACATGCCAGGAAAAACCTAGTGGCTAAAGGTCCTGCCTGTGCTGGAAAGTAAATGTGGTGACCATAGTCACTAACCACTTTTACTTTCTAGGAATTTTCTTTCTGTTATTATGAGGAATCAATTTTGCCTTTTTTTTTTTTTCCTAGGCAAAAAGCTTTGGTTGCTACTGGACAAAAGACAATAGAAGATGCAGCAAAATGGTAAGTATCTGTGATTTCTAAGGCAAGCTTTTGCGTTAAACCTGGTTAAAAATCCTCATTTATGTGCTGATCCTGTCACTGAATTTGAAGTTAACTGCCATAAAAAAACCCCAAAACCATGCATCTGAGATTTTTTTTTCCCCATTTATTTCACTCAGAGAGAGAAATATTTTTATTTGTACTTATTCTGGGAAGCAAGGTTACTTGCAGAAGGTCCAAGGTAAATTAAAAAGCAGGAGAGGAAAGGGCAGTCTTGGGCAGAAGCAGCTACTTTTACCCATAACTGGGGTTACAAACGTGCAGTAACAATATAGGGTTAAATGGCAGTGGCTGAAGGGAAACAGAAAGGCTCAGCTTACAAAGCAAGCTGAAAGTCTGGTGGTCAGAGGGAGGTATTATTAGAATCAAAATCATGTGTTAGTTTGAACCCCACAACGTTTTTTCCTCTCTATCAATACCCTCACAGAGTGTTCTTATGTCATGTTATCATCATGTGATGTTAATTGATTTTTTATTTTTTGCTTTAATTCACCATCAAATTAAATCCAGTCTTTCCTTGTATTTTCTTATGGTTTTTGTTCTGTTTGTTTTCTCCCCCTTGATTTCATTGCTTTTTTCTTCTTTTTCTTCCTTTTTTTTTTCCTTTTGTGAAAAGCCAGAGGAGGTATTTGAGACTGGGATGTTCTTTCCTAATAATTTTGTTCAGGGATTCTACCACACTTTCCAACAATCACTCCCAGTCCTACAGCTGTCAAGACAAACACACAGCATGTGAAGGACAATGTGAAGGATATCATCATATGGCATATGAGTTTCTGACTTTTGTTTATTCATGTTCTGATTTATCTTGTTCACTTTTCTTAGGGCTGAATAAAAAGGTTCTTCTAGAGTATTTTTTTAATCTTCAGTGAATTTTTACTTATTCCATTTTGTCACTCTTCAACATGTTTTACCCATTGCCTTTTTCCTCCTCCAGTCCTCTGTTCCCAGTCATGAAAAAGGGGGGAAAAAACCCGAACACCTAAAAAAGGGTTTTTTTTGTTGTCTCTCATTTTCAGACATTGGTAGAAGCGAAGGCACATAATGAAACATAAAGTACTCAGAAAATAAGCAGAAAAAGATTTCTCCATTTTTTAGTACTTTGGAATGAAAATTTTTAAGGGGTTTTACTTCAGCTTTTGGTTTGTAAGAAAATAATAAAATCGTGTTTCCTTTTTCTGATGTCTGCTGTGGATGCTTTCAAACACAGGAAACAGGAGTAAGCAGCGCACACACTCAGTCTCAGTGATATGCTCTTGATTTCAGGTTGCATTCCCACTGCAACGATCCCTCTCTGGATGACCCAATCCCCCAGGAATATGCCCTTTACCTGTGTCCCACTGGCCGCCTGCTCGACCGCCTGCAAGAGTTTTGGAAGGAGAGCAAGCGCCAGTGCGGGAAGAACAGAGCCCACGAGGTTTTCCCACACATCACCCTCTGTGATTTCTTCACGGTGAGGCTCGAAAGGCGTGTAAGGGGTGAATGTCAGCTGGGTGGTGTTTGGTGAAACTGGGCCACCTGCTGTTGTCTGACACCACAACTCCTTGGTGATCAAACAACAGGACCTGGGTCCGGGAGCGTTGCTCAGCGTTTGAGTGGGACGTTTTGGGGTAGCTGAGTGACACGTGTCCATCTAGAGCAAACCTGTGCAGTCCAGGATACTGTTGTGGCTCATGGATCCAGGATTGTAAGCCTTCCTGGCTAGGGCAGCAGTGGCTGCCATGAACCAGCAGGGACAGTGTTATAGGATGCAGACAACTTTGGTATCATGCCTGTGGGAATCTCAGGGAAACCTCTACCTTTCCCAGAGAGCCCCATCAGCAGGTCATTGCTAGGGTGGTATGTCCAAGATGTTACTCTTTCTGTTGAAGATTTTGTGAAAAAAAGAGTCACAGGGATGGAAGGGGAGACAGGCTGGACTCCAGCAGTGCAAGTCAGTAACTTTGTCAATAAGTTAACTTGGAAGTTTTGCTCCTGAGCCAGACTTCTGGTGAGCTGTTTTCTGGTTCTAGAGAAGCTGCTGTCCTCCTTCTGTATGCTGGGTAACCTCCTAGAGAACTTCCCAGCAGAGCTACCTCTCCTGCATAGGTGAATGTGTCCATATCAGCAAAGTCCAGCAAAGAGTCACCGGTCTGGGAAAGCTCTGGAGTCACCTGGAATCTGGTTTTCGTCTGTTGACGGTGCAGCTGCAGCTGAGATGTGCTGAAACAGGCATGAACCAGAGCAGCTGGACAAAAATTACTCTGTTAAACCATGACAAGAAATATAGACAGCGAATATAAGAAATTTTGTTGCAAAATATTGAATGGTATTCTCTGGCCATTAAACACAATTATACAGAACAAAAATCATTAATTAGTAAAGAATGCCATGCTTTTGGAAGGTGTCAGATTTAAAGACCTGCCTGCAAAAGACAACTGCATTGCAACCCTCACCTTGCACATCTTTGCCCCATTCCAGGTAGTGTATTTCCAGGGATAAATGTACCCCGTGGGCCTGTTCTCTGCTCCCTGGCTGTCAGCAACAGCTGACCTGGGCACCTCACAGGCAGAAAGTGAGACTCACTGACTCGGCTCCCACCTCCTTTTCCTGACCTGCCCTCTTCTGTTTCCCACCTTCCCATGTCTTTTGCAGCTCCCAGAGTTGTCAGCCCCAGGAGGAGCCCTATTGTTTCCTGGCACTTGCCCTGGTGCAGGTTCCCCCCTGCTCTTGCCCCCCAACACCCAGTCTGCCCATTGCCCCTCCTCCCTCTGGCCTGGATGGCACAAATCCCACCTTTGTCTCTTCACTTCTTATATTGTTTAACTGCCACTTTTTCAAGGAAACGTGGCTCTGTACAATCCTTTATTTTGCTGTGGTTGGATCATATTGACAAAGATGCCTTAGGAATTTTGCTGGGTGTGTTGCTCGGCGTCTGAAATCTTGGAGTTTTGGCAGGAGTGATTTCAGCGAGGGACTTTAGGGTAACAATAACACAAATTATTACTTAGAATTGAAGAGGGAAGTCATGATCCCTGCCTCATTTCAGAGAGATTACTGCACACCTGTCAGATGGTAAAATCTTTTCCTACCCAGGCTACATACACCTCGGGCTGAAGGTTCTGTCTCCTGTTTCAGAACCAGGGCAACACCCTGATCAAAATGCCTGATATTACTGATTTTAATGCCAGGAATTCCAGGCAAATTCATAGGTATTTTGTGTTTCTCAGGCAGTTTAATGCCCCATCGTTTTCTACTGTGTAGCAGAGGTTGCAGTGCTGGCTGTTGAGCTGGTGAGTAAAACCTACTCCTCCTCTGTTTTCTTTCAGTGTGAAGACCAGAAAGTGGAATTATTGTATGACACCCTAAAACGGGTCGGTGACAGCTTTTCCCAGTGCTTTCCACCATCTATTTCCCTAACACTACATGCATCCCCCAGCTACCTTGGCTTCTTCATTGATGACACCCATGCCAACGTCCTCAAAGACTTTGCTCTGGCATTCTCATCAGAGGCTTCGGCCCTGGCAGGTAGGACCAACATTAGAGGGAAGATGGGTGAGTCGTAGCACAAATGTTTAAGCACAGTACTGAAAACCTCTGCTGTGTCTCCAGGGGAACTTAGCTGATGTTTTACTGCCAGCAAGCACCCTTTCCTCCTCCAGATTTGAAAGCAAAGTGGCTACAGGATCATGTTTTAGACTTTGAAGACACAGCGCTTTTGTCTAGAAGCTGAAATGATTGTCTCTGTCTAATACTCACTCCACTGACATTCCAAGAGGAATGTTAAACCCTGTGCATTTTTTTCCTCCCATGCGAAGCCAGAAAACAAATCTAGTCCATGTTTGTGAATTATTTTGGCATATTAAAGCCATGACACTCTTCCAAACCATTATTTAGCAGATATAGTAGATCTACTCTACTACTAGTTACTGTGATATTTCCTGCGTCATGCAAAGTATGTGGTATAAAACAAGAAGAGCTTTAAATGACCTTTGTTTCTGCGTTGTGATGTTATTGTTTCATCCCTAGACTGCCATGTGAAGCCCTCTCTGAAGCAGTTCCACCTTACCCTCGCTCACAAGTTTTATCCTCACCATCAGAAGACTTTGGAACAACTGGCCAAATGCATTAACCCCGGGGAGCCCTGCCAGTGGGTGGCTGCTCTCTACTCACGGGACATGCGTTTTGTGCATTACCAGGTACTGTAATCACATTTATTTGATTTCCTGAGCCTGTGGTCAGACTCTTTGCTACAATCTGTCCCTCCTTAAGAAAATCAGCGCATGGTCAGCACAGTGTTTTAAAGAACATGGTTGTTTCAATTGCCTTTTTGGGTTGAAAAACTGGACTCATGGATCAGTAGACAATAACTTTATGGTAGGCTGCTTGACCTGCATGTCTCCAGATCTAATTCCAAACTCCATCAGAAAAAAATAATCTTACTGTGGCATGAAAAAATAAAAGAGACAGGAAACCATGATCACTGAATATTTGCCAGCATTTTTCAGTTTACAGTTTTGCACTAAAATTCCACTCAGCAAAATTAGTTTTCTTGTTTGTTCCAGCCATGATGAAAACTGCACAGGCTCAGTTCTCATTAACGATTTTCTGCTTAATAGACTCTTTGTTAAAACCTGTCAACATTTTTCCAGTTCTCATTTCCAATTTTAAATTATGGAATGATCAACAGTTTTTTGCCAGATCAGTAAATCGCTTTGTCCCAGGTCTCATATTGGATTTTAGTCACGCTCAGGAGAACTGCAAGTGCTCACAAAAATAGCTGATAACTCTTTTACTGTGTTTGCTTTCAAATAAGTCTGTGCTAGTTACGGGGGGGGGGGGGGGGTATTTTTATGAAAACGGAGTGCCTTTTTTACACATACTGCAAGAGTGGTAGAGTCTTCCTTTTTGTCTGCCACCAAAGAGCACGTTGCAGAGCGGAAAATAAAACCCATTGCTGTGTCCACGAGAGGTGAACAAGCATCCCCTGAGCTGCTGCAGAACCAGCATCCTGACCCTGCTGCATGTTCCCCCCCAGAGGCTGAGGGCCCTGTTCCAGTACAAGCCCCAGAACATTGATGAGCTCATGATCAACGCTGGGGATTTCATCTACGTTGACCCGACGCACCAGTGCGACGTGAGCGAGGGCTGGGTGGTCGGGACCTCGCACCGCACCGGCTGCAGGGGTTTCCTTCCAGAAAACTACACTGAGAAAGCCCACGAGTCAGACACGTGGGTTAAGCACAGGTGAGTTCAGGGTTTTGTGGGTGTTGCTTCATGTCAGCCACTTTGGTTTTATTTTTAGGTGTTCCTCCTCGCCGGGAGCCGTGGGCAGAGGAGAGGAGGGTGGGGTCCTGAGGGTCTGGGGGAGATGCTAACACACCTTCTGAAAGAGAAGAGGTAGGACATGCACCCTCAGACACCCAGAGTTCACAAGTTCAGCTGCTCGAGGGATGACTCCTGTTTGCTCCTGAACAACTTGAACACCCTAATGAATTTTAAAAGACCACATTCTGCCGGGCAGACTGAGCCTTCAGCCTGGCTCTCTGCTTTCTTCTCTTTTCTCATTTCAAGAGCTTTGAAAGTTAACTTGAAATGAAGCCACACAAAGGTTGCTCCACCACCTTGAGACTACCCTCATCTTGTTGATTTACCCTCCATCAGAAGGCACCTGCCTGGCTTCCTGCACTTCACTCTGCAGCCGACAGCACCACTGATGCTGCTTGTAGATTAGAGCTGATTTTTCTAAGCAGGGAGGTTTAGATGCATTTCTTGCTGAACCCTCAGAGACAGGGAGGAGGCAAACAGGTAGTGTTTTCTGTTTGAAGGTCCCACTTTAGCGAGGTTACACCCAATATGTGCCATCAGTTCATATTCTAAATCAAGAACAAAGTGATGAAGTGGATTGCAAGTGTGCAAGAAGCATTGAATGGAACACGAATCCTGACTTACAAGTGCCTATAGACATCATCATGACTCAAAAATCTCTTCTATTTGTGTGTGAGTGTATTGCTTCTGCTTTTTCTGCAGGGAATATGTTTTTGGGACAGCTTCAAGATCCTTCACCCAAACTGAAAGGGAATCTAATGTAAAGCCGAATGGAGAAGCCCATAATCCAAGTATGTCAAGGAGTGGAACCAGTGTAGTTTCTATTCAGGTAATTGTTTTTTCCATTTCTTATCTTTGCCACATGCTTGTGCAGATAAATTACTAATTAAAATTAAGTGTAATAATAAATATAAATGTACGTTTAGTAAATGCTTCCCTTTCCTCCCTCACATTTTCATGTTATGTTGTAATGCATATATATATGTATATCTATATGTACACACAGACACTCTTATCGTATGGTATAGTATCTCATAAATATTTTGTAGTATATATATGACGTATACACTCTTGCCTTTCATAACACCCTTTTTGTTCCTGTCATAATAGCACAACGCATGAATTCTCTACTCAAGTTTCTCTGAGCACAGCCTTCCTGGGCTAGCTCTGAAGAGGTATGGAGACAAGTCTGACAAGTGAGACACAGGCCCAACTTCTCCTGACTTCCATATGGGTTCAAGGCAGAGCAACTGTATCTGAATTAGGCTCATTGTTCATTTTTGCTCTTATGTCCAGATTTTACAAATGTCATCTTCATGGTTTCCATGGTCCCAGATAACATTTAAATGTTTTGTTTTCTTCTTTATTTTTTTAGATATGTAGCTAATGCAAATAACTGCCCAGAACACCTAACTGGAGTGGTTAGCAGCACTGATAGGATTACACTTTTGTCTGACTTTCAAAATCAACAGGTATCAATTTTTCGCAGTGTTTTCCACTGGTCTTCTGGTAGAAAGAACAAAGCAAATAAGGGCTCCGTTTTTTTACCTAGAGCACATTTGCACCTGCATTGCACTGTTGGCTCTGGCTGTCAGGGCTGCCAAGATGGTCCTTTCCAGCACACTGACATGGTGCAGAAACCCCTTAGGGCTTGCTGGCACCACAGCCTCTCTTCCTGCTGTGCTGGGGGATAACCCCAGGCTTGTTTGTGTTAATGTCAGAGAAACTTGAGGGCGCCTTGAGGGAACTTCCACCTGGGGCCTCCAGGATGCTGTGAGTGTGTGACTGTGGGACAGAAAATTCTGAACAGGTCACATCCCCTTCCTCTGGCTCTTGGTTGCTCTTGGTCTCACTTATCTAGGTCAGATCTGTGGCAGAGCCACCGCTTGGCCCGAGGAACGTGTTGTGCAGATGGGCACCTCTCCAGTCTAGTCTTCCTGGCCTCTGGCTTCCTCTCAAGCAGAAGAGGAAGACCACAAAACCTTAGTTTTAAACTCTGATCTTGTGGCGGTTGATTGATGTTTCATGGCAGAAATGCAATAGTGTTTAACAGAAATGCAATAGTGTTTAACATGAATATCAATCTCACAGTGCTTCTTAAGGATTCCCTTCTCTGCTGCTGAAGATGCACATCACTGACCTCAAGGCTGCAGCAGTAATGCAGTTTTTAAAGTCTGAAAGCCTTTGACCTGTTCCTCATCTTCTCGTCTATATTTAATGTGCATTGTACACTAACCTCAAACTGCTTAGCACTTATTTGTAATTCCATGAAGTCTGAGTTAAAAAAAAGCAGCCTCATAGAAGGTCTGAGTTCACTGTTGACTTGACCACACAGTTACAAAAATCAGAAGTACTATTTTCATTAGGAAAAGGAGAAGCTTGATGTTAATCCTGGTGTAGAAAAGGGCATTGTCACTCAAATCTTTGTTAATTTTCCTTTTTTTTTTTGTTTGTATCAACCATATGATAGAAATTAAAGTTGTAATTCCTTCCCACATTGGGATTGAAAGATCTGTTATCAACACTATCTTTCACTAGTGCAAATAGAGTTAAAACCTCGTGTAGCCCACAGGGGTCAGTGATCTGACCTTTGACAGGACAAGGCAAAAAGGCCTCAAGCTGCACCAGTGGAGGTTCAGGTTGGACACTGGGAAAAATTTCTTCACTGAAAGGGTGGCCAAGCATTGGAACAGGCTGCCTAGAGAGGTGGTAGAGTCACCATCCCTGGAGGTGTTCAAGGAATGACTGGACGTGGCACTCAGTGCTCTGTTGTTCAGTTGACAATGTGCTGATTGGTCAAAGGTTGGACTCGATGTCTTTTCCAGCCTTAATGATTTTATGATTCTGTTTATTTCACTTGCCTTCAGTGGAGAGCGAGTCAGGCTTATTGTTGTCCTAAAGACAGGCATCTATTACATCCCTCCTGTCCAGGAATCCAGATTTTTAGTGCAGGTTATGTGTAACATCATAATGAAACCCCTTTTTCCCACAGCTGCCTCAGAACGGCCCCCTGCGCAGAGCGGTGCTGGTGATGCGCCACGGGGAAAGAGTTGACCAGGTCTTTGGCAAATCTTGGCTTCAACAGTGCCTGACTGCAGATGGTGAGTGAGATAACAGGAGGATCTTAGCAAACCAGAGCTAATTAACCCCCGTAATGGGTACAAGAGATTCAGTCTTCTACCTGTTATTGTAAACATTGACACAAAATAGTGAGTAGCATTGCAAGGCAGGCCCAGCACTGCTTTGACCTGCACATCACCAGATCATAACGTCCTCAAGTCCTTCACAAGTCAAATAAACCCTGCAGACAAACAAAGCCCTTGTGCTACTGATGGAAGTGTGTCTCACTGGCGGATGAACAAATCACAAGATCACATTCACCACCACTCACTGCAGAAGGTGGAGGTTGTCAGACCCCTCCACCTTTCCAGGACTGAGTCAGAATTATGGTCTCTTGATCAGTCACAGCACGTCACCAGTCCAACCTGGGGAAGGTTAGCAAGAGCAACCTGTGGTGGAAATGAAATGCCAGCAACTGACGTAAATTAAAATCCGAATTTCCTGGCCCTCTCCCTCTCTCCCTTAAAAAAAAACCAAAACCAACAAACACAACCCAAGAACAAACAAACAAAGAAAATTAGAAAAACAAAGAGTGTGTTTTCAGGTGAAGAAAACTGACATAAAACGGAAATGTGTCAGGAGGGAGGGGAACAAGGTGTGAGTTCAGAAGCAAGAGCTTTATGCTGAAAGTCACACCTTTGCTATGCTGGAGATTCTCTACGTTCAGTTGGTGAAATTCACATCAGATGAGGAGGGTGGGCACCTTCTGGCTGTACAATCAATGCATTGTTTTCATTTTTCTTCAGTGTAAATGTTGGGTTTCTGTCATTTTGTCGATGGTAATAGAATATAGATATGGAGAGGAGTTTTTTGTTTCACTTGAGCCTCACAAAGCTGAATTCTCATGATTTCCTGTTCTGCCTCTCCTCCTCCCCCCTTGCTCCTTCTGAGCTGGCAGAAGGGGTGCTATTCTGTTAGGACAAGTGGTTCTCCAAGCCAGTGTTGTGACCTTAAAATGTGATCCCTTTAAGGTAATAGCACTGGGTGTTTTTCATCACTGAGACACTGACTGTGTCTGCAGTACTGACATAATACAGCTGCTGCCTCCCTTGTGCCACAGCAAAATGTCCCACCTCTTTTTAGGAAAATACTACAGAGCGGATCTGAACTTCCCCTCTGCCCTGCCAAAGAGGAAAGACAGCATGAAGCAGTTTGAATATGATCCTCCTTTATCTTGCTGTGGTATTTTCCAGTCAAGGCTTATAGGTAAGCTGGATAATATCCTACTGCAAATCTAAGGGTTTGGGAAGCAGGCTGCCATCATCGGCCGAAGCTCATGCTGGCTTCTAATAGGAAAACTTCCTAGCAGCACTCCCTGTGGTTAGGCTTCTCTGCAAGATCTTAAATAATACAATAGAGAACATGGCTGGTTGCTTGTCTTTGAGGCCCAAACTGCCAGTTCCTGGCAAAGAAAGTTGGAAGAAAGAAGCCACAACACTGTCTGTGCCCTGCTACTCCTCTGCAAGGGATTAATGGCTTGTGCAGTTGTCACTGAATGGGCAGTGAGGAGTGAAGGGTCTGGCCAGAGGAAGCAGCTTCATGGTCAGCAGAGTGTGGTCACCTCATCACAGGGAGCTGGAGGAGGGGTGGTGTGGGTTAGTCTGACTCAATTCACTCACCAGATGAAGTTGCTTGTGCTCCCTGAGCAAGGTGCCTGACTGTGACAGTGCTGACCTGGTGCAAATGCTTATCTCTGATGATTCAGTATGTGGGGACAGCCAAATGCCTAACTGCTGTTTGCAGATTTGGAGTGATTCTTCTGTGGTTATCTTTCCAACACTCACTTTAAACTTGCTGTTTCCACCAGAATGAGCTTTTTAATGAGCTCGATCAGCAGACAGTGTGAAAAAATGAATAGAAAGAGACTGTCAATGGATCCCATGTCGATGAAAGTGCAAAGCTCCAAGCTGGTTTTTTTTTTTCAGGAAGTACTTTGTAGTAGTTTCTCATCTGTCACACCTGGTTGTTCCCATCCAGGGGAAGCTCTGCTGGACCAGGAGGTGATGGTGAGCTACGTGTACTCGTCCCCTGCCCTCCGCTGTGTACAGACAGCTCAACACGTGCTGCAGGGTAAGGCACCAAAACCAACCACAGCGAAAATATCTTCATCAAACTTCTGTGAAGTCTCTGAGACAAGCAAATAAAGAAGATTTTGTGGTTATTAGTGGTTATCTTTAAGCAGGGAAGTCAAGGTGGTTTTGACTCACTGATAATGCAGGCAGCAACAAACCTGCTGCTGTGCGTGCAGTCTGGTGGGATATAATCCCATTAACTCTGGTCCTCACCAGTTAAAATGCAATCTAATGTTGTATGAAACAGAGGTGTTTCACATCAGGTTGAATTCAACATTAGTAGCTGCTCATCAAATCACCACTGTCACCTCTTCTAGAAAACATTTGGAGCCAAAAAGCAGATGTTGCCAGTGCTCTGAAGGATCTGAATCAGGGAAGACAGATTTCTTCCCTTTTTTTGCAAGCCAAACTATTTGAATGCCTTCATATTGTAGAGCTTCTTTCCTCCTCTTTCTCCCCCTTCCTTTCCCTCTCCCCTTTTTTCATTTCCTGTCCCTTTTCAACAAAATAAAAAAGTGTCTTTTGACAAGGGAAGTCCACTTCTAACACCATCAGACAATTTACAGCCCCACTGTGGAACACTGAGCAAAATGCTATATAAAAATGGTAAAAACATTTCTTGTCCAAAGTTTATTCAGATTTCAATTTTTTTCTTCTAGCAGAGCATCACAAGAGAGTGAGCTTCAGAAACTATGATGATTATGATAATAATAATAATATAATTTGAAGTGTCTTAACATTAGTCAGACAAGAATATAACAGTGCCTTCATTTAATCAACGCAATCCTCTTTTGTTTGACAATAAGTAATTTGTTTTCTTTAATGAAAGTACTGCAGCAAACGAGGGAGAATGTATAGCCTGAACGCAGCACTTTGGGTGTGCCTTTCTCCTAAGATGTATTTCTTGTTCTTGCAGGGCTTAAATTAAATCAAAAAGTCAAAATCAGGGTGGAACCAGGTCTGTTTGAATGGACCAAGTGGGAAGCAAGCAAAGTAATCCCTAACTTCATGACTGTGGCAGAACTGGCAGAGGCATCTTACAACATAGACACAAGTTACAGGTAATTGCTCCACTTCTAGCTGATAAAGTTGTGGGGGTTTTCCCCCTGAGATTTCTTATCCTTTTATATGTCATAAATCATTACAAGCACTGCAAAGATGGGGTGATCCTGATCAAATTCTGTGCACCCTGGGGCAGAGCATGCAGGATCTGGGGAGGGAGAGGTGAGCCTGACATGATCCACCTGTCCTGGTTTTGGGGACAGGCAGGACAACAATGTTGCACTATACTTGATGTTTGAGAGGTTTTTTTTTTAATTTTAATTTGCCTAAATATTAATATTGTGCTCAGTAAGGACTTTTTGGGGCCCTCATAACTTGGTGGGGTGAGAGGTGATGCCTTTTCTGAGCACTTGCAAACCACACCCTGGCAGGAAATGATGAGGCTCCACTTCAATCTAGCTCCTCATCTTGCTCTCAAACCAGGCTGCTCTGTGTTTGCAGTGCACAGCCAGATCCAGGAAATTACTCAGCTGATAAAAGCAAGTGTCTCTGGGATTTCCCACGTATTCAAGAAAGGGGCAAAGGAAACCTCTTATGTCTTAATGCATTTCTTACGGACAAGCATCTTCATTTGAGATTGCATGAAGGAACAAAATCCTTCATTTTCTTGGAGTATAGGGTTTTCTGCTGTGGTTTTTTTTCCACCAACAGACCGTTTTCCCTAGGTTGTTGGGTTTTTTGTGCAAAATCACTTGCCTCAAAAGAAAGCATGCAAGTGGACAGCATTGAGAAGCTCAGAAGGGAAGCTCTGAAGCAACGCTAACTACAGTGTTCAGACCCCTCCCAGTTCACTCAGGTCCAGGCAAAAATGGGATGGATGAGCTATAAACTTGCACATATGTTGCCAGTTTCTTCCCACCACGTGCAGGGTTAAAAATCCTCAGGTCCCAGGATCTGGTTTTACCACGTTCACCTGTGCAAATGACAACCTTCGGCTGGGTTAGGTCCCTGATTGTTCCCTGTCAGCAGTGGACCAGTTTCAAATTTTCCTGTTTCCAGTGCCACTAAGAGGCAACCTGAGAGCACTTGAAATACTTGCTGCTCACGTGGTGTGTGCAGAGATGAAACCACCTTCAGGTTCACTGCACCCAGGAACTGGGTGCCTGGGCTGTGATGGTTACCTAGCAGCCTTCTTGATGGTGGAAAGGAGGGGACTCCCAAGACACTGATTTTCCATCGTAGATAACCTGTGTCAGACACTTAGGATAGCATGAATTTCCCTCTGAAGGACCTTATTTATTTCTACTGACCTTGCCAGACATTTGAGTTGTAGGCAGCTGGGTGGGATTAACTCTGCCTCCCTCTCCTCTCACACTCTCACAGAAGCAGAGGTTGGTAGGTGCTCCCTGTCCCAAAGCAGGATAAAATAAACTCTGATTTGGCTGTTCCTGCTGTTAATAACTTTGAGTTGCTGTGAAATCTCTTTATTTCTTTCCTCTTCATCCTCTGCATGGAGGACAGAACCTTTCCTCTCCACAACAGCCCTTTGCAGACTGTTATCATGTCCTCCTCAGCCATTCCTCCGAGCTGAACTCTTCCTGTGCTCCCCTGTGGGCTGTGCTTTCTGGACTCTTGTTAACAGCTCCTCTCTGGATTTTTGCTCGTTGATCCTCATGTCACTTGGCCTGTAGCACTCTTAGCCTGGGCTGAGCACTCCTGTTGGTATTTAGCCTGGAGACTACCTGGGCTGGTGCTGGAGATGCTCAGTTCTGGGGCAGGACAGCTGGTTAACAACATGATTAATACTGAAGGGACAAAGGTGCCAACAGGACAACACATTAAAAAAAAGTAATTGCAGCTCTGCCAAAATGGAGACCAGTTTTGAGCACCCCAATCTAGACTTGTCTGATCTAGCCAAGATTAATACTAGATTTTACATACTTTCTACTTCTGCCATTTGTGATGACTTAATGTACTGAGGACTCACCTGTGAAAGAACACTATGATACCACACCTTATTGCAATATATTCATCTAATCTCATTCCTGCCTGTTCACTGAATAAGGAGACAGTCAAGTCAGGGCGAGGGGGGGCAGTTGTTTGTAGAAAAAAATTAACACCCTGTGTTGTATCACAACACATGGCTAAGGATTTGCCAGCTGTAGCAGTGAACACTTTCCATTCCTGGAGAAGACAGATTATAGGGATGACATGAGTTTGGGGAGGTTTTATTCTGTTTCCAAGAAGCCCTGGTTCAAGCATCAGCTACGTGAATAGGTATCAAAGACAGGAGCCTGGTGAGAGGCAGGCTATTTTACCTGCTGCCTATTTTGCCTGTCCTGCAGATCTCAGAAGGCTGCCAGGGTCTCCCATCAGTGGGAATTTGGTGTTCCCAGCCACCTACCCTTGGCACCTCAGGGCACATCAGGGCCCTTCAGATTCTTCACTGCTGCTGCTGGACTGGAGCAGTCCCCAGACCTCCTCCTGGGGCTGGGCAGGACTGGTGTCCTGGAAACTGCTGTGGAACCCTAGGATGGGTCTGTGCAGGGGGAATGTGAGGCTTCCCTGATTCACAGCAGTTTGACTGTTATTTTTTTTGGAAAATATTTATTCAGTGCAGGAAGAGCCCTGGCATATAAAAGAAAGAAGAAATGCCTGGTCTCAGCAGAAGTGCTCAGGTGCTTAGGAGGGATACATTGCGATAAATTCTCCTGGAAACACCTTCTTTTTAACTCTGGGAGTGAAAGTCTTTACTATCCATTTGACCAGGGAAAAGCTAATGCTCCAGGCAAGCTGAGGTCACAGTGTGTCAGCCAAGACAGCAGATAAACCTTTTCACCAAGTGCCTTTTCTCTGGTATAATCATTCAGTGGTGCTATCAGCGTCCCAGCAGACACCTGGATTAACATATTTGTGATTTTGTTGTCAGGGGTAACTTCCCACTCTCTTCTCTGGTGCCGTCGGAAAGTTATGAAGACTATTTAAGCCGAAGCTCTGTGGTTATGAAACAGATCATCACTGCCTGCCCCAGCAAAGGTGAAGGTTTCAGATCTTTGTATATTCTGTCAGACATTCAGAAACAGGAAGTGGCAGAGATTTGCCAGCAGAATCACATTTAATGTGAGTTGTTGGTACTGCACAAAGCTTAAAGTAGTCTGAGTGCATGTCCTGGGCTATGCTGAAGTAAAAATACATGCAATTTATGAGCTAGAAATGAGAAAAATTAAAATTAAACAGAGACAGTAGAGTACTAAATTGCAAGAGTATGCTCTTTTCTTGGTCCTTCTACATTGGGTTGTAGCTCAGCAGAAGAGAATACAATTTTCTGGAAATCTTTTTCTTTTTCACTGGCAAACCCCTTCTCTCACTAGCTGATGTGCTACAACACATCTGATTTTTTTCTGCCCAACACAATACACCCAACCACATGATTGAAAAAGTCTGCAGAGATGAACGGCCCCAAAAGCACCTCATACCCATCTGCTGATGAGGAGCCTGACAGTGCTGCAGCTCCCTTACTACTCCTCTTTGCTTTTTCTGGGTGTACCAGGCGTCATCCTCATTGATGAGGATCTTCCCTGGCATCTTTCACCCGGCCTCTGATGGGGCTCCCCAGCAGAGACAGCAGTGACTTTGCCCAGATGGTACGGAAGGTAAGAGGATTCTTTTCCATCGGGAAGCTTTTGGTTTGTTTTATTGTACCTCTGATAGGGGGCCTGCTTGTGCAGGGAGATGTGAGCACGCCAATACCAATGATGTCAGCTTTCTCATTCCAGAGGGAATCTCACACAGTTTTAGCAAAGCACTGGAGGTCAAGAGAAGGGTTTCATCTGCGTGGTTTTGTATGTGACTAGCAGTTATGTCTTCGGAGGAGATTTTCATCCAACTCCCCTGGAAAGTCAATGCCATGTAACACCTACAGCCAAGAGGCACATTTGGAAACCTGGAGCTATCCTCCTTCCTTTCAACCTGGAAATGTGAAGGCTTTGGGGTGACCTAATTGCAGCCTTCCAGTACCTAAAGGGAGACTACCAGAAATATGGAGAGAGACTATTTAAAAGGGCCAGGAGTGGCAGGACAAGGTGGAATGGCTTCAGGCTGAAAGAGAGTAGGTTTAGATTAGATAGTAGGAAAAAATTCTTTACTATGAGGGTGGTGAGGCCCTGGCACAGGTTGCCCAAGCTGTGGTTGCTCCATCCTTGGAAGTGTTCAAGGCTGGGATGGATGGAGCTCTGAGCAACCTGGGCTAGTGGAAGGTGTCCCTGTCCATGGCAGGGGGTTGGAACTGAGTGGTCTTTAAGGTCCCTCCCAAACCAAAACAGTCTGTGATTCCATGGTTCTGTGAAACAGGGCTAAGAGCCTTCCTTCTCCTCCTCATGGTGATTGTAACCTACAGTTTTATTCAGTCTTTAGATATATTTAGATATATTTTTACTACCACTGTTGATGCATAAGAAGGGGTGAATATATTTTAGTCATCAAAGCCAAGCATGAATGTGGAGAGATAAGTTCACCTTTCACCCCTCACGCCTCCAGAATGGTTTCAGTTCATTTCAGAAGAGACAGAATATCAGGGTCTGCTCTCTTCTGTAGCAAAGGCCCCCCTTCATGCCCAAGCAATGACCCTGCTGGTAACTCTGCTGGTAACTTCTCTCCTAGATCCCTTCCCTGGGCATGTGTTACTGTGAAGAACTGAAAGAGGAGAACAAGTGGCAGATGGTCAACCCACCAGTGAAGACCTTAACTCACGGAGCAAATGCAGCATTTAACTGGAGAAATACTATCCTGGAAGACTAAAGAGTCAGCTCTGCCTTTGCAGTTGTCAAAAATGAGCCAAAGGCAGGTTATGGTTCAGCACAGCCAAGTGATTCATCCAGAAGACACACAGTGGGTGGGAAATGCCCTCTCCGAGTTTTCAAAGCACAGAAAAACACTTCCAAGTTTGGTGCCTGAATTTTGTTTTTATTTTGGTGACTGAGAAGAGGGGAACTATGTGCTGGAGTTCAAGTGACAAATAACACTTCTAGTGGTGAGGAAAGTTCCTTTTAACCTTTTCTGAGAGTACAAATGTTTAATAAACACAGATCTAACTACCTGATTATAAATTCCACTGCAAAAGGCATTGAAGTAGACAATGTTGTGTTTTCAAGACCAAACTACTTGCAGAAAGAATTCCTTTTTTTTTTTTTTTTTATTTTCAGGCACTTGGATATTTTCAGATAACACAAAAACTGGTACTGAAAAAAGTCATCTCCTACTCGAAGAGGGGATCATCTCTACCTAAAACCACTGGGTTTCCTGTTCACTCCATCAGTTCTGTGACAGCTAATACCACACTGACTCTTTATTTACCTCTTCTATGAAGGGAGTTCATTTTCTATCAAGCAGCTCCTCGTTCAGCTATTCTTGAGGGATCCATATTGCAAAAGGGTCTAAATTCCTCCTTTTTGAAGAAAACGAAACTGATGGCTTTGCTGTTGCTGGGACAATGAAAGTGTGTTACTGTACTGGTGACAAAACCATGACATGAACAACTCTGAACTCTGAACCCTTCCTGAGATGGCACTTGCAGGACAACAGCTTTGCTTTGTGCTGTTTTGTGCCAAATTGTATAATTGGTGACACATCTCCTGGATGGGTCACCCAAAATGTCTCTGTAGCCCCTCTGGGTGATTTGTTTAATTAAGACAATGTAACCCTGAAATATTAGGCACAAGCAGGAAAATGCCTTTCCACAGCCTGTTTTTCTTTCTAATAATGTTCATTTCTAGTTATCAGATAACTACATCCAGGAAAGCACAAATTTTCCTTTCAATGAAAGGAAAAAAAAATAGAAATGTTTGCCTCTAGGCATGACTGGAAATGTTTTCATTTTCACTCCTCACTACCTGCTCCTATTTGACATCTCTCTGCATTCATGCCCCCTCAGGGCAAATGGTAGAGCACACCCAACATTCTGTCTTTGGGGCTGAGAGGTGTCTGACAAGCACCTTCATCTGGGGGTGTAGAGATTTCACTATCTCACTCATGCACCTGAAATGACTCATTCTGACTTTCCAGCTCTGGTAAAGTTGCTTGAGCTCTTGATTTTCCGACAGTGCTGTGATTTTCAAGTGAAAATCAAATGTCTCAGGGCCAAGGCAGGAGCCTTTTAACTATCAAGGGATGTAACAAAAGGTGCAGACAGAGGCAGGTGAGCCCTGTGCTCCCCTTTTTGCACAATCCAGCACAATCCACCTGCCTGCAGGGTATGGAGTTGGCACTAACTGACAAGAAAGAGAAAAAGGAAATTTCCTTCAGGGACAAGAGTCTTCAATGCCACTTAAAAGACTGGTCATTTTTAAAGCATAGACATAAAAAGCGTTTTAAAGCATTTTAAAGCATTAGACATAAAATTTCATGTGCTTTCATGAGAAATTTTCCTCTATCTTTTTATAAATTATGTGAGGGGGTTTTTTTCTTAGACATTATCTTATATATTAATCCTAGGTTGTGCTGCAAACACCAATTTGGGTAAAGAATCTGGGTCTTCCTTTAAAAAAAAAACCAAAATAAAATACCAAGCGACACCTCTCCCTTCACCCAGTGGCACCAGAAATGTTGTCAAGGTGGGTCTGTTGTGAAAAGCAGCCCATACGAACAGAATCTTTTGCTTCATCTCCTTTTTTTGATCAGATTTTTCCTGCTCTGCTGCCTCGGTGTACAAAACAGCAACGAAATATTTCTCTTTGCTTTTCAATCTTTTTGGTCTGCAGAGATCATGTTACTAAAAGCCAGTTTATGGCACTCTAACGCTGTTATTGTCCATCAAGCTCCTATCCATAATGAGTCTGTGCGGCTCCCAAGAGGCAAGTGAGAGGAGGGGAGAAGGACGTGGGTGGGAGAGGTGTCTGTCTGTCTCTTACAGGTGGGGATATGGGGGAAGGTTTCAATCACCCGATCTTGGTGTCTAATCAAATGCCAACGGGGCATGAATAACATTATTGACAAGCTAAATATATTTAACAGGCAGATCACTAAAACACTGGGACCAAAATCCAACTGTGCTCTGGTTTTTTTCAACACATGCACTCCAGTGAATTTTACTTCAGTGAAAACAAGGAATTGAACTTCAGAGCATGTGGGAAAGAGGGTTTGAGGACTTTAGTATTCTCTTGCGGTGGTTTCTAATCCAGACACCACAGTGCTAAGTAGATGAGGACAAATGCTTAATCAAAACACTGTATTTAGCTTATAAAGACTTCTCCATTTCTAGTGTTTGATTCCATCGAAGAGAAAGAACAGGCAGCACGCACAGCAAGCCATTAAAACTATCTCAGTCTTAGTAACTGAGACAGTTTCATGGCTGAGATGGAAGGGCAAGACAAGCTCTTCTATCTACAAGGACCCTGCTTTTGGCTTCCCATGGGAGCACAGACTCACCTCTAAACACATTTTAAGATCAGAGCTGTAATTATAACTTAAACATACAAGGTTTCTTAGTTGCACAATCTAGTGCTTAGGAGAGAGAGAATTCCTAATGTGCTGTGTACATAATATGAGACTAATCACTAAACACAGGGGAAACGAGGAAAATGTCCTGGGAAGTTTCAAAGTTGATTTTGTATTAAGCAAAAGAAATAGGAAATTCTTTTCCAGTTTCTAGAGTATTTTTTTTACTCCACTTCTAAAAATAGCTGTTGCTTTACTCCATTACAATGTTTTTTTAATTGGACCTATTTCATTACAAAGTTATGTACTTAAACACATGCTTTTAGTACTGCCTTGAGACTCTGAATGTTTTCTTTACAACTTAAAGGTAAAAATGCAACTTTTTTTGATAAAGACCTCCAGTGAAGCTAATCTATGGTGACACCTTGTGGGAAAACACAACCTCAGACTTACAGGACTAAGTAAGATCCTGTGTGACTGAGGGATGAAGAGGAGGACCAACAGTTTTATTTGAACAATAATGCTCCATCTACACCCTTTGAAAGGACAGTAACATCAAAATTTATAAAGTTTGGGACTACTTCTAAGCAGAAGAGCTTGGAGAGACATTTGAGTCCAATTCTTCTGAAAAGCAAGATGAAAAAAATTCTATGAATGTTCTGATCCTCATTTTTCTTAAGCTTTTCCCTTGTGCCATCATTAATACTGGTGCAAGATAAATGTGCAGTTATGCTACACTTTGCCTCGACTAGACCTCTTAATTCTGCTTTCTATTTTCAAGCCTTTGGACAAACTCCTCTTTCTTGCTTTCTCCTCTCTTCTTTTTCTCCTCCTTTTGTTCCCACAGGTGGTAGGTAGTAGTTTGTGCTTCTAAAGGTATAAAACCCCTCAGGCTTAATATTGGTTTGAGAAATCAAAAGGTGGTGTGGGATAAAGGCTTGTGCCAGTGCTCTTTTGCTGCCTGAATTGAAAGCTCTCTGCAATATTTCTGGTCTGAATTCAGTTTAGCCCTCAGTATTAGTTTGGAACTAAGGGAATGTTCACCTGCAACATGAAAACTCGAGAGGCTCAGCTTGGAAAAACTGATAGATTTGGAAATAATGTCCATGCAGTTTGAACTGCATCAGTTTTGTGTTGGTTTATGGGAATCCCATCCCGAGGCCTTTCCAGTCTGGAGTTACTTATTGGCATGTATCTGTCTGACTTTAATGGACTCTCTCATACTCTGGGAATTTTGGTATGAATGCTGATGGGCCTGGAGCCTGAGGTAGAGAGTTGACAGCTAGTAGCAGTTTGTTTTTGAAGTAAAACCACCAGTTCTGGCCCATTTGGGACAAGATATTGTACTGATAATAGTGAAACTGGACTTGCATTTCCTAATTTTTCAGCAGAGAGTAGGGAACTGATATTAAATCTTTAGTCTAGGGGAAAGAGGAAAAACATTTTAACAACTTCTCTTTCTCTACAACTCACAATTTCAGCAAAGATATATCCAAAAGTTTGAAAGTTGGTGCTAAAATGAATTAAAAGAAAGCAGAGATAGAGCAACAAGTCATATCACAGAATGAAATATTAGATAGAGTTTATTACTTCTTTCATGCAAGTTGTTCTCCTCTCAGAAATGCCATAGAAAATTCCCATGCAATCAATCTTTCCTATCTTACATGCCAATTTGTTTGCAATTACTTGTTCTGCTCAGGTGACCTCAGTGACCATTTTTAGAGGTGGTTATCTTTTCCTCTTTCTGCCTTTTTTGGCAAAGAGAAATGCTGCATTTCCATTATTACTGTAGCTACACCAAAGCAAACATGGTTTGATAACATTGTGTGAGTTTTTTCTTTTTTTTTTCTCTTTTTTTTTCTAAAAAATTAAAATCACTGGTTTGCTTGCTAGTTTTAATATAGTCTACTGTAAATTTGAGAAATATCTCTACAACATATTTCCTAACTCACTTCCATTTGAAGGTCATCTTGAACTCAAGCTGAGTTCATTCTTGGATAATTTATATTCCCTTTTTCCGTGCAGCCCTGCACTGTGCCACACTCAAACCCTTGGTGACCCACCAGCTCTCGGCCAAGATGCTGTCCATATACTGAACAGTTCCATGCATTCCTTTCCTAACATGCCCTCCATTTCCTAATGAGCCTTCCTTGGAGAGCTCTAGTGGTGGGAGCTGTCCCACTGCAGAGCCCTGGGGTGCCCCCTCTCTGAGGAGCACCTCGCTCAGGAGTCAGCAGCTCCCTGGGAGCCTCTGAGGCACAGGACAATGGAGATGCTCAAGGAGAGGGCAAACCCCAACTCCCAACACACCAACGTCCCGTCCCAACGGAAGCTGAGGGAGTTTGAGAGCTGTCCCAGTGGGAAGATGTGGAATGTGAGGAACTGTCCCCATGGGGATTGGAGAGATACCAAGAACTGT